ATAAAAAACTAATTTTTTCCCAAATGTACAAAACTGACAGAATTCACCACCAGTAGATATGCAGTACAAGAAATGTTAGAGGACATACTCTAGGAACAAGGAAGCAGATCCAAGGTGAAGGTCTGGTTCTACACAGAAAACTTGGGAAGAAGAAGAAGAAGACTTCCTCAACCTGATCGTGTATCGGGGCAGCCAGGCGCAGTGACCCACGCCTGCAATCCAGCACTTAGGGACGCCGAGGCAGGCAGATCACCTGAGGTCAGGAGTTTGAGACCAGCCTGAACAATATGGTGAAAACCCATCTCTACTAAAAAAACAAAAATTAGCTGGGTGTGGTAGTGGGCACCTATAATCCCAGCTACTTGGGAGGCTGAGGCAGGAGAATTGCTTGAACCCAGGAGGCGGAGGTTGCAGAGAGGCAGAGGTTGCAGTGAGCAGAGATCACACCACTGCACTTCAGCCTGGGTGACAGAGCAAGACTCCATCTCAAAAAAGGGGAAAAAAAAAAGTATCAGTGGCTAAGCAACAGCTAACATGATACTCAGTGGTAAAAGACTGAAAGCCTTTCCTCTATGACAGAATAAGGAAGGGATGTAACATGGTTTGGGTCTGTGTCCCCACCGAATCTCATGTTGAACTGTAGTCCTGTGAGGGAGGAAAAGGGGCTGAAGGGAGGTGGCTGGATCATGGGGCAGTTTCTCCTGGTGTTACATCATCCCCTTGGTCACAACAGTGAGTTCTCACGAGACACAGTCATTTAAAAGTGTGTATCACTGGCTGGGCGTGGTGGCTTAGGCCTCTAATCCCAGCACTTTGGGAGGCCAAGGTAAGTGGATCACTTGAGGTCAGGAGTTCGAGACCAGCCTGGCCAACATGGCAAAACCCTGTCTCTACTAAAAATACAAAAATTAGCTGGGCGTGCTGACGCGTGCCTGTAATGCCAGCTACTTGGGAGGATGAGGTGGGAGAATCACTTGAACCCAGGAGGGGCAGGTTGCAGTGAGCTGAGATTGCACCACTGCACTCCAGCCTGGGTGACAGAGCGAGACTCCATCTCAAAAAATAAGAGAAAAGAAAAGAAAACCTCTCCAGGAAATAGGGAACACAATGGAAAACTTCCAGAAGAGGCAGTGTCAACGGTCCACAGTCCACAAAGGGCAGCACGCGATGCCAGCAGGACACGGCACCCCCCACTCAGCGGTCAGTGTGGCAGACAGGGGAGCAAAGGGTCCTTCCCTTCATAGCTTCAGGAATGTCAATTGCTGTAACTTTCTGGGAATTGATCTGTCAATAACTATTGAAAGTTAAGTGTTACATATGCATATCCTGTGACCCACTACCAGCATCGATTTCCCATTTAGGGGGTATCTAGCCTATAGAAACCAAAGAAGGTACCAGGGGCCATGCATGGGAATGCGCCTCTCAGTACAAACTGTGCAAGTAACAGACACAAAATGAAATCCATCAATGGGGAATGGTTGACTAAATATGTTGTATCCTCGGTATGGACTGTTACAAACATAAAATGAATAAACATTTAACTCCTGACATGAGCACATGTTAAAGACACATTACTAACTGAAAAGGAAAAAAAGGTGGAGGGTGTAATTACGGCACAAAAGGGCTGAAAAGAATTCTTATTTTTCTGTATTGTTTGAATTGTTATGAGGGTACATTTTGTAACATTAAAAACCAAATTTAAAATATGGCTCATTCCAAGGTACAAAAAATTACTTTGGCAAATCACAGAGAAAGAGCACTCACTTTTCCTCATGAGAATGGCCTCAGCACTTGACTTTGCAGAGAACCCATTCCCCTGCCATTTTCCCTCTACATGGGGGGTGTCACTGAACTCTTAGGGGACCAAGAATCACTTTAAAACATTCTGTTCTCCTATTCAAAATGGGTCATGCCCCATATTTCTCAGAGTCATCACCCAAAATCATGCATTTCAGTGCTCTTTCAAATACGTAAATGCACCCAGCAAATACGTCAGCACCCCTTATTCTCCAGGCCCTTTACTCCATTATCGCCAACATTCAAGTCCTAAAACGTGACTATTTTGTGGCAGTTGTGACAGCTATTGGCATAATAGTTACCAGATGGCAGCGTAGCCATGGCCAAGTGGGAAGAGGTGGAGCCAGGAGAGCCTAAAATCACGGCCAGAAAAGCTCCGTATCTCTCCCTGAGCGTTAGAGATCGTTCAAGGAGGGGTTCTACTTGTCTGTACTGTGACTTGACACGCGGTACACACTTTTATAAATAATACATATATATACTTTCTGAGATGGATTTTTGCCCTTGTTGCCCACGCTGGAGAGCAATGGCATGATCTCGGCTCACTGCAACCTCTGCCTCCCGGGTTCAAACAATTCTCCTGCCTCAGCCTCCGAGTAGGTTTTTTTTGTATTTTTAGTAGAGAAGAGGTTTCTCCATGTTGGTCAGGCTGGTCTCGAACTCCCGATATTAGGTGATCTGCCCGCCTTGGCCTCCCAAAGTTCTGGAATTATAGGCATGAGCCACTGCAAACAGCATAAATAATAATTTTTAAAAGTGTATTAGTTTAGCAAAAACATGACAGACACATCAGTGAAATACCTTTGTGCTGCAGCTGTCACCTTGTACACCCTGGACAACTCCATTCAACTAACAATTTAGTGAGTTTTGAAGTCTCAGTGCCACAGCTGAAAAAGAAACTACTGTGAGTCTCTGCTTATCCATGGTTTCAGTAACCCTCAGGAACTGCAGTTCAAAGATATATTAGTAGACATCACTTTCACATGACTTTTATTACAGTATATTGTTACGATTGCTCTATTTTATTATTAGCTATTATTAATGTGGGGAACCCCCCATCTGGGCACCAAGGAAGAAGAACTAAGTGGATTCCTGGCACAATTAGTGCCTGAGGAATGTCAGTTTACAGTGTTACTACTCAGCTATTTCCTTTATACAATCCTTTATATATAATCATATATTAGTTTATAGAATTAGTGCCTGAAGAATGTCTTAGTTTACAGCGTTACTACTCAGTCATTTCCTTTATATAATCCTTTATATATAATCATATATTATAGAATTAGTGCCTGAAGAATATCTTAGTTTACAGTGTTACTACTCAGTCATTTCCTTTATATAATCCTTTATTTGGATTATATATTATATATCATCATATATTAGTTTGTAGAATTAGTGCCTGAAGAATATCTTACTACTCAGTTATTTCCCTATATATACATATAATTATATCTTAGTTCATAGTCGGAGGAATGCCTGGAGCAGACACGGTGCAGAGCATGATTTAAGGGAAAAACAGTTATACTAGGACAAGAATTACGGCCCAGGCGGCAGCGTTCAGGATGGTGAAGAAAGCCGCTGTGTGGCAGGCTTGGAGCAAGAGCCTGTCCTCCTGAAAAAGGAGTTGTAGGACCTTGCTCCAGTTCTTGTGGAAGGCTGCCCTCAGACCGGCAATCCCGCGAGCGTCCGAGGGCTTAACACCCCTCCGGTATAACCGCGCCTCGGTGACTGTAACTTGTCAGCCTCTAGCTACTGTGCTGCTCAGAGCGTCCTCCCGTAGAAATCACTGGAAGCCGCCGGTGGTGGTGGACCTGGTCAGCTCTGTCGCTGCGCAAAGCATCCTCCTATAGAATCCCTTAGAGGTAGCCTGCCCCTAGACAAGAGATACCGCAGGTTGCACCCTCTTCACCGCGCACGGCCCACCTCCTTACCTGGGTGACCTAATGAGGGTGGACCCCTTGCTGTGCACTGCCCAACTCCTTACCTCGGTGACCTAATGAGGGTGGACCCCTTGTTTACTGCTCACGTGATTGTCTTGACCCTATCACTGTCCTTAAGGTGACCTCACTCACTGTCCTGCCCCCTAACCTATATCCAATAAATATAGATGCTTCTGGAGGTTCGGGGCCTCGCCTGTCTCCGCTCACAGGTGGTGTGGCCCCCCGAGCCAGCTGTCTTTTCTAGTCCATGTCCTGTCTCTTTACTTCTCGGATCCAGCGCCTCAGCACAGTGATAGGGGACACCCCACGACCCTGTAGGGCTTGACCCTACAATTAATCTCTTCCTGTGCCTAATGAATTAAACGTTACCACAGGTATGGATGGATGTGTATACATAGAGTTCACTACTGTCCTAGATTTCAGGCATCCATTGCGGGTGTTGGACGTATCCCCTGAAGACGGGCAGGGGGGCAACAGCACGTGGCCTGCGACGTACCCTTGGTGCTGCAGGGCTGTGCTAACAACGAGCGCTTGTGGGTCCCAGACAAGTCTACCTGGTGGTGAGCACGGAAGAGCCGCTGGCACTGCGATCCATTGACAATGGAAACCAAAGCCAACAGCCTGCCTGCAGCTGTGCAAACAAGCCTAAGACTCAAACTTTCCGCCAGTTGAACTGTAGGTAAACCAACTTTTTGGTAAGGAGGAAATATTCACCCAGCTCTTGGGCAAGATAAACGTCTTTATTATAGAAGGTGCCAATTCGGAATCTTTACTGTAAAGGTGGTGGTGTTATCAGCTTCCTCCTTTCCGCTAACAGAAATCTCCCAGTGCCCAAGGGCCTCCATCAGGAGCAGGACCGGAGAGGGCCGTCGGTTCTGGGGGGCTGCTGAGCAGGGGCAGTCTGTGGAATAACTCCGTTGCTCATGCTCACCACACCCTAAGTGCAGACGGCCCTGACTCAGGGATGAGGACACCTGGACCAGGGGCCGAGAGGGAGGCGACATCAGCACAGTAGGCAGCAGCAGGCTCGTGAGGCTGGAACCAGGCTGGCGGCAGTGACAGGGTGGGCACCAGGGGACAGGGTGAAGGGTCGCGGGGGCGGGGGAGCGGGAGGAGCACTTACCGGCTGGGTAGTCACAGTGATTATCACCAGGGAAGGGGTGGGAGGTCAGGGGGGTTTGTGTCATGGGGGTGGGGAGGG